TTTTTTCAAGTTCAGGCGTAATATAGTTTTTTAGTTTTTGAAAGTCTAAGACTTCTTTAGTAAAAAGGTTTTTAAAAATATCAAGTGACATATTGTATAATAAAAGTTTAAAAAAAAGTAAGTTTTCTTTGAAAAATAAAATTTTTGTTTTTTCTAAGTTTTTGGGTATTGTAAAAAGTGAGAAAGAGTTTCAATTCGTTAACGACGGTTTTTTTTTTTTTAACGATGTGGTACTGTCATAAGTTTATTATATTTATGTCAAAATATTACAAATAAAATTAATGAAAAAAAATAAAGTTAAATGTAAAAATAATAAAAAATTAAACTATGACTATCCTCCGTGATTCTTTTACAAACCTGTTTGGATTGACCAATCATTGGAACATCCTTCAGAAGAAATCAAGAAATCTATATTTGATGATTAAATCATCAACAAGACATTCAAATGAAACTATCAGTACCTATCTAAGAAGTTGACCCAAGAGAAACTAAATTTTGTAGCTGAAATAATCCAACTAATCCAACTATTTGATAGAGTTCTGTTTGTGAATTTTATAGTAGTAAGACGTTTAATCTTGACTTTTTTCTTTTTTAGTCTCATAGAGATACTGTTTTTCTGCTCTTCTTGGATCATTTTCTTATATCTGAAAGCCCAAATGTTATCATGGAAAGCGGTAGTAAGAAAGTTAGAAGTATTCACGAAAATACATTTAGAGTTAAAAGGAGAGAACAGCTCCTTAAGAAGTAGTAACATTTGGTTAAGAATAATGCCTTTAGCTAAATGCATACAGGCAGTAATATTAAGGAAAAGGTCCAGTAATTCCATGAGCTGATTTTTTATGAAAAAATAGAGGTTGAGCCTATTATATTTTTCCCAAGTTTGTCTAAGATCAATTTGTTGAGAAAAACCCTAGCGTCTGAGCAGATCTCAATAATTTTCTGAATTCTATATGAGCATATTCACAAATGATGGTAGTCTTCATTGGACATTGTACAATAAATACATAGCCAGTTTTTATACAAATCAGGTCGTCTTACTGAGAGGTTATCTATTGTGGGTAGTTCATTAGTTAATGATTTCAACTTGAAGCATTTTCTTCATCTTTGAACAAAAGAGGTAGCAGCAGAATCATCTTCTATATTTAAAGAAAATATGGAAAAAGAGGTAGACCAATCAATATCAGAAGAATGGGTATATTGAACTAATTGAGAATTTCTATTAAGGTCCATAAATGCTAAGAATTGTTTAGCTATATTAAGGTTTTTCCAGAATTTCCTGGTTGAAGATTCTACAGGGATTTGATTGAAGCTGAAAAGGAGTTGTAAATCATTACAATTTGTAAGGTTGAGCAATAAAGGCAATTTAAAACATCCAGCTTTTGCTAAGTTATCAGCTATATCGTTGTAATAGTTTCCTGAATGACCTTTTACTTTAATCAGCTTTATAGAGAGTTATAATTCGTTAATTATATGATTGACCAAAATCCAAACAGTATAATTAAGTACTTTTTCTTGTTTTCTTATTGTATAATTATAATTAAGACAAAAATTGTTGTAATCGTCAATAACTGCTTGGCTATTCAAATATATTATTAACGAAGATAGTTTTGGACAAATTATTAGAACAGTAAAAAAGGCAAAAAAGTTCAGTTCTAGTAGACGATGGGTGATGTAATATAGCAGCATTAAAAAAATTTGAATAGTTGCATTGTAAATCTGGACAAATCCATCCTAGTCCCATTTTGCACTCTTCTGAAGTTGAATTAGAAAAAGAGTCATCAGTATAAAAATTGGGTGTAATGAGATCTTTGCATGAGTGGGATAGATTAATGAGTTTATCCTAATATAAGACTTCCTTTATACATTTTCTAATAAGCATACATAAGTCAAATAATGAAGAATCAGTATAATAAGAACTGATTAAGAATCAGAACCAATTAGGTTTTTGATTTTTAACTAATTTTTATTATTTTTATCATTAAATAATCAGAATTCCAATAGACTTATAAATTATATCTTATAAAATATTAATGATTTTTAAAGTACAACATTTTTTAATTGGTAAATAATAAGCAACATATCAGTTTTCCGATTACTAATAGATACATTTATGATCTGTTATTAATCTATTTAAAAGTATCGGTAAATTAGCAAAATATATAGGAGTTGTTATAATTTGGTCTGGGTTTACGATATTATAAAATAATATTATCTGATAAGTTGTCTAAGTACTATTTACAAAAAAAAAAGTTCTTTTAGAAAAATCATCGTTAAAGGTATAAATGACTTGTTATTGAGAAAAACGGGAATATTATTTTATTAAATTTTTCTTTAATAAGAACTTCTGCTTTTTATCTTTTGAATTATATTTTATCATGTGATTTTGGCATAGTCGTTGCGAAGTTAAATCAAAAAATATTTCTTTTTCATTTTTATACCATACGCATATACATAAAATTACTAAACATGAATCTTTCTATTAATCGGTATTACTGACATGTATTTCTTTTTGCCTATTGTAAAAGAACCTTTAACGAATCGACCCAATATACTATGAACTGGAATTATACAATCTCTACTAAGATCGTAAAATATTTTTTTCTATAGTTCAATATTGCAAGAATTGTCATCCCCATCAATTTTGCAGTGAAATCTAGTCTTATGATCCTTTGCCAGAAGATACCACCTTACGAATGCCAAAGAATGTTTCTTAGATACTTCTGGAAAATGCACAGTATGTTCAAAATAATATTGAACAATTCTAGGATAAGTTTCTTTAGTATTTACATGTGTAAATTGAAATAGAATTTTAGACGATCGGATGTGTCTTTTAGAATATGATAATCTGAAAACTTTAGAGTCAAGTCGTAATCTCCCATAAATATTTACCTTTAAAAGTACCAGTATAGCTTCTAGGTTGGCAACATGAATGTTTGACAATACTACAAAATCTTTATTATAGGTATCACAATAATATTCAACTAACAAATCTAATATTTCTTTTGATAGGTCTGTATTTATTCTTTTAGGATTAAGAAAAATACCTGAAAAAGATTCTGAACCTGTTCTGGCCATTTCTTCAACATTTCTAAACATTGATAAATTCACGATAGTCTATTCCATTGAGTTCATCTTGAATTGTAAGACTACCAGTAGTTTCTTTTGGCATTATTAAAGGTAAACAAGCTGATAAATATTGATAATCCTGAGTATATGAAAAAAACTGGTCAAGAAGGGAATTATACTGAATGGTTTTCAATAGTTCTAGCTCAATTTTTCTGTTACTGGTATAGTATAAGCCTATAAATATGAAATAATTTAATAAATATGAAGTAAAGATTGGTAAATTTGATAGAAGTATTATAATTATCCAATAAGCTATTCATCCTTTCATAACTAAAGCATCAAAATGCATATAACAAACCATAGTCTAAAGTATAATAACAAATGTATAGACATAAATGTAAATTTGGCAAAATTTTTTTTGGACTGTAATTCTTCTCAATAAGCTTTACCATTATTAGAAGTCGTTCGTGAGCATCTTTTAACCCATCTTTAGATACAGTTCTGCATACAAGAATATTGCATGTGCTAACAAAATTGGTGAGAATCACTCTATCCAATTCTCGAAGCAGATCCCAAGTAATTGTAGTTGCATATACAAGGATAAAGGTTTTTCACTGATCTGCAGTAAAACCTGAGAATCCTTCTCCTGTATCAATTTTATATGGAATTCTGCCAATATCCGCTGGAACTTTTATTAGCTTAGTCCTATTTTGCATTATTTTAAGATCATTTTATTTCAATCGACCTTTTTCGATCTATAGTCATATTATAATCTATTTTGCGATACTTAGAAACAAACAGTGCATAGGATCAACAATGAGAAAATCAGACTGAATCAAAATATGTGAGAAGGTACATTTCAGATCAGCGCACTGAAATATCATGTACATGGATAATTCTAGCATCTTTAGTATTACAGCCCAACCATTCTTGTGCATTTTTTCGAATTTGATTGATGTTCCTTTCAACAAACCATTTATCAATATTATCAAATCCACCAAAATTTAGTTGATTACGATCATCAAATTGTGTCTTTTTTAAATATCTATGATAGGCCACGTGTGCAGATATATAACCGCAAAGCTTTTTTGTAGCTGGGATGTCACAAGAACAGCATATTACTGCAGCTCGAATAGGCTTATTAGTGCTTTCATATGTTGCTGATAGTTTAATCCTGTCTCATAATTCAATTAATTGATTGGCTATCAGACCCAAATAATAATTTATATGGTGCAGGCTTGGCTCATTTGGACCAGGAATCAAAGCCATTGTTAACACATTCGATGGCTTGAATCTTTCACTTCATGAAAGGTTGCATATTATACCATACACAGCTCTTACACTGTAATTAGTATTATTGAATGGCTGAAACCAATCGATATTTAGCATAATTCCTATGTGTTTATCAGCCACTTCCTTCTGAAAAAATGGTAAATTTTAGTTTTAATTCCGAAATGTTTTCCAAACTCTTCTATCGTAAATATCATTCAAATATTAAGGATCACTATACCAATCTGCCCATTTCCTACATGATTTCTCAAATCCTTTTTGATTGTATATCAATTGTAATTGATGTTTTAAACTAACAGTTGGGTATATTAAAAAAGGCCAATATAACACTCCATCTATAGTGTGAACTGTTTTAGTAAGTTTCGCTATACATTCTTTTCTTTGATTTGCTATCAGATGGTTGGTAAATTGATATAAGTACAATGACTTTTAACTGGAGATTGGGTAGGCTTAGTGGTTGATATCTTTGCTATATTATATAATTTACAGCATTTTTTACATACTGCATATTTTATGATATGAGCACATACACTGAGTATTTTTCGTGTCATGTATAGTGATGTGGGAAAAGAATTATATGTGTTTGCGTTCAGAAGAATCAAAAGATATCTAAAAAATTTAATCAAAGAATTGGTAGCAATATCAGATAGCTTATACCTCTCTTGATATAACAAAATCCACAAGACAATCCAGTTAGAACTTTTGTTAAAATCAACAATAGGTTTTTCAAGATCATCATATACATCTTCCATTTCAAATGTACCAAAACTGCTGGATGAAGAATATTTATTCAGACTTTCTTCAATAGAATCGAGATCACTGTCATCCTGATCATCATTATCATCATCATTACCATCATCAAAAATACTCTGTTCAATAATAACAATATGATTTTTTTAATACCACCACCACCACCACCAATACCTTTTTGTTTTTCTTTTGACTCGCCTTTTGATAATTTCTTGGGAAGAAATGAATAGTTTTCAACAGGTTGAATAGGTTTAATTGTTTGATTACTATTATTACTTAATGTGTCAACTTCTATTGGATCATTCAAAGGATTTACCAATATATCTTGACTTGGATCATTTGGAAAACCTCGATTTGGAACTATATTTTTGATAATTCCTTTCAGTCTAATATTCTTTCTTAAATTATGTTTTTTTTCTGTACGTAGATCAACCAAGCAACCTTTGCATTTATTACAATAACTATGTACTTTCTTCAATTTACTTTATTAGTATCAACTGATAGATTATTGGATTTTTTTACAAAAGATTTTTTCATTTTTCGATATGTTTTTGGCATTGTAGTTAATAATTTCTTTTTTTAATTTTATTTTTATGTGACGATAATAAATTTATATTTACTGTTATACAAAAATTGAATATATATGTATACAAAATAGTATATTTGATATAAAGTTTAATTGACATCGATTTGTAATCAATACGAAACTTTAATAGACATCTAAATAAGACAATCAAATTGTAGTCCAAATATAATTTAATTTATGAATATATAAATTGATTAATTTTTTGATTTTTCTAACTTTGATAAATTGATTTTCTATTTTGTTAGATTAATTTCGTTTGGCTAAGAAAGGAAAAAAAAGAGGTATTATTTATTAGTAGGAAAAAAAAACAAAAAAAAAAAACAAAAATCTTCAATTTATATTCGTTTATGTTCTTTTGGTTAAAAATGCACAACAGAAAATTATTCAAAATTAACATAATAAGTCAACGATATTTAGGATCATATGATACAAGTTCACAAAATCGCTATTTATCAAGAATAAATAACTCAAAATACTCTCGTTATTCATCAAGTTCTTTACCAAGAAAAAATAACCTTGTTATTCTTTACCGGAAAGGAAAGGTTCAAAATGCACTTGTTACTCATCAAGTCGTTCACCAAGGTAAAAAAGTACATATTTATAAAATCTACATTGAGAACCTAACAACCTTTAAGGATTAGAAAGGGTCATACAC